CTCATTTTTCATTCATTTACGTTTCTGTAGTTTTGTCTTGTTTATAAATATCTTTTGTACAGGAATCTGCAGGAGGCATATTGGCCAATGGAGTATGAGATTCGTGCCTTATAAGCAATAGGTCCCGGGTTCAAACCCCTACTCCACCTACTTTTTGAATTCTTTGTTCGGAGCGATGTCTCTGGAATATCCTTGGAACGCCCTACAAATATACTCCAGAAGGACATCCCTAGGGTGCCTTACCTCCTGGAAAGGGGATGGCCCTGAGACGTCCCTGGAATGTATTATGTTCCGACACAGGATATATGCTAGGAAAGTCCTCGAAGAAAATGAAGGATGTTCTGGATCAAAAGGATGTGCAAGCGGATTCTCAGATTCTTCGTTATGGTTGTTATCACCACTCCCTATAATATTGATATATTTTCAGTCTGTCATATTATGTAGTCCAATTTCTGCTGTATCGATATTTTAAGCTAATTTCGAATTGTTGCGATATGTCTCTTCTTTATATTGTACCTATGGTCTTTCGTTCCTACTGGGAGAAGCCTCTTCGTTTCAATTGTTCGATACTTGCCACACTTTTTCATACTTTTCCGATGTGGTGAATTCTTAATTTTTCCTCCGATTGGCAGCAAATATTAATTTTGCTGACACATATCAATCAGCAAAGTATTACTTTTCCTGCCTAGGCAGCAAAGTGGGTACTTTGCTGCCTAGGCAGCAAAGTGGTTACTTTGCTGATTGATATGTATCAGCAAAATCAAAAATCCATAAATCGTTTATGATTTCCTTCATATTTCATCCGAGACTTCTCCGGCAACAAATTCAACTCTATATTTTTTGCCACCACCCCTATTAATGGAGGTGTAAAAGTATACTTCCAGGTCGCTATCACTGTCCATTATATAATAATTTAAGTATACCGATATTGTTTCGCACAACTGTCAGAAATTTCATGAATTGTCAACCCAACAACTACGATTTCTATCAAATTTTATTTTAATTGAACACTATACAGGAAGAATAAAGAAATTGTGGGAATTGTATTAATTCGCAAACACAATATTCTCCCATATCATTATGAACAATCGGAGAAAAAATCATATGTTCAACTCGGCAGCACAGTAGATTGACTGCCTTTGCTAGATTCCTAGCCTCGCTACGCTCGGCTATGAATTCAGCCACGGCAGTCAATCTACTACTTTGCTGCCTAGTTAAACAAATAACTATTTTTTAGTTAGATGAAATTGATTCTCATGAATTTGATAATTCCCCTTTTGATAATCTCTTGATGATTTGAGTAAAAGTTGAAGTTGTCTGTCAGTATGAGAAGATATCAAAATGGTAATTGATTGTCCGACTCACTTTCTCAAGCGAACTTACGATTGAATTCAATTGAATTCCTCTCAGGTTTCTAATAGGGATATTCCAAGGAGAGTAACATTTTGGTACAGATCATCTAATTTTGCTTCAAGTATATTGAAATAATTCAATACAGTATAATATTCATTCATCAAAACGACGAAGATACTATAGAAGAATGAACAAAATATATAACTTCCCATTGAAATTTCTTGAATCACTCTTGTAATTCAGCTCAAAAATTTGAAGAAACGTGTGATATATATTCAGTATCAGCTGAGAAAGAGAAATCCAGAGATCAAAAATAATGTTGGTGTTTCGTTAATTCGATATTTATTAATGAATCAAAAATCGAAGTGGAAGAGTCAACCTGTTTCAGGAATTTTCAATAGTATTGTTCATTTAGCAAGTGATGAATTGAGGCGTTACCTACTGGACACACTGTCTATATTTTTTTAACATGAACGTTATTTCAAAGAATATATGTAGCCCACCTATATTCTGTTTCGATGTACTCCATCAAACAGATGGAAAGAAAAGATTATACGGGTATATCTATTCGAGATATAGGAATTGTACAAGTTCGTTCGAAGTTAATGGTGCCTGAATTCTCTTGCCCCGTATTCGTAAAATTGCAGACCCTTGCCCATTAAGGCATCCGATAGAGATGGAATACACCGTCCGACTGAAAAATTACTGGCCAGTCAGCAGAAATTGAGTTTTCACACACAATTCGCTTCCGAAGATCATCTTGGACCTTCGATGTACAGGGTGTTTCTGTCCGAAGAAATTGGTAGTGAAGATAAATGAATATAGCTAACCAACTAACCAGCGAACCAACCATGATCGAGTCGCTGAAATTCTTTCAATTTAAGGAAGACCTGTCATTTATTTTTGTTGTCTCTGCTGAATTGACCTATATGTCATTTGTCTTAAAATTGCTGGGAAAGACCTCAACCATAGATTCTTCGAACAAAATTAGGAAAATGAAATTTATAGTTATAAACATGGGTCCAGATATTAAATGTCCCGCCCTAGGGGTTTCAGTCACCTGGAGGGGAGCCTGAGATGATGGTTTCTGTGAATATTTTCGGGCCCCTCTGTGATAAAAAAAAAAAAAATTTGTATGTTTGTGAATGATGTCACCCATATTTTTAAGCTCAATTTGACCAGGAAGTATGAAAATATCTTCATTTTTACTTGAAAGTGTTACTATCCCGTTTAGTTTCAATTTAGTTTCGATAGCAATCACCATTTACGAGACGAATCGATATTTTCCCCAAATGACATTGAAAGTGTCTTTTCAATGACACTCAACAGTGTCTCTCCTGTCACATAAAGAAATACACACGAGAAAGCTATTAGATTCTAGCTCACGTTTTCTTGTCTCACAACATAACACAACCTAGAGCTAAAATCTACTACTCTTTTCCCTTTTATTATTTTAAATTCTTCATCAGGGGCTATATTCCGAATTCAACTGGCAGTACTGAATCTGCTGATTTTCCATTCCGGAATCAAAAAATTCACTGGAAGTGACAGATGCTTGTCAGCAGACATACTATTCATTCCAAATATTTCGACTCAACATTCTGCTGGAATTGCTGAGTATCAAAAGGTAGTGTGGCTTCAGTGAACTGTCATATTTCAGAGTGGGAAGGAATGTAACATTCATTTCCGTTATTAATGAAATGATTCTCAATATCAGAAAATACCTAGAGTATGAAGTAGTTGAGCAGGTAAGGAAAGGAGCAGCATTGGCTAAATAAACTAAATAAACCTGGAATGTCTCCTAAAATTCTTCATTATTAAGGCATATTGCGATTTTCATGAATCTCAATTCTCAATCTGGTACATCATGAGAAATTTATGGCAACAAAATGTTCAAGTATTCTTCATCACTCGAGCTTGAATCGCCATCGTCAATAATCGTAGAAACTATAGAGGATACAAGAATCGATTTCTCTTCCATGTTAAATATTAAATTTCCAAAATTTATAATAAGTGGGATGCTAAACATCTAGTTCAGATAAACGAGAAACTACTACTGATGAAAACCATGAAAACGTGTCCCGAATTACAGTAGTGAATTTTTGATTTTATATTTCGGAACACAGATTTTCAGCAGAGTCAGTGGATCAACTTACAGTACTGACCAGTTGAATTCGGAATATAGCCAATGTACCTACCATATTCATTTTGATTTCATCAATTTCATTGCACCCCTCATATTCAAACATCAAAAATAGGTGTAGATAAAATGGATAATTCTCATCTTACTATAATTCTTGGGAAAATTCGATACCCCATTAAAGAAAAAGTACTATTTTTTTCACGCAGTAGAATTTTTTAATTGAATGCTCACGAAAATAGTGAATGCTTTCGAAAGTTAGCAGGAGTACCACTTCCAAGGAGAAATATTGAGGTTTCCATATCTCCTGGTCATACTGCGAAAAATTACATAAACAAAAATGTCGGGAAAAAAATTGCTGTCAGTCCGACCTATGTCTCACGCCTCTGGTCAAAATTTCAGAAAATCATCAACATTTCCGGATTGGCCATAGAAAGTTAGGTTCATGTAAAAAATTCGAAGGGTTTCAGGAATATTCATCTCAGGCCTTACTTCAGATATGGTTGTGAGCCCCAGGGGACCATTTCGGACCCACGTTTATATGAACCTATTTCAGTATATTTTTTCTTATAATCTATGGTTGAAATTGTTCCATGTTATTTCGAGATACACAAGTCACAGAGAATCAAGGAGAATATGAAGATAATATATGGATACTTCATATACTTAGATTGAACTGATATATTCCATTTGATACTCAATGGTGACGTATTGAGAATATCGTATGTTAACTGAACATCAGCACGTGGAGAATGGGCTTACATCACAAAAAAAAATCATTTCATAATTCGATAGAACTCACCCAAACTAGCTCACCACCACAAACCGTTTCTTGCTGTGAGCTCCGTACGTTTTATAAAAAATTATTGAAATCCCCGATTTCTCGGACCTCTGAAAACGAGGCGATGATGTGACGTCAAAACCCTAATACTGAAACCAGACTATTCCAGACCGAGATGAATTATACATGATTTCTGACAGAGTGAATTGCGCGAGATCACAGTTGAAAGAATTAATATATCAGTTGCCTCAGTCTCCGTCGGCCGTTTGGTATTTTCTTTTAACTATGGCGAGATGAGGTTTCTACGTCATAAGAGGGTCCGTTTTCAGAAGGTACTATTATTTATATTCAAAAATAAAACATTCCAGTTAATTTTTCAATCGAATTATGTCGTCAATCATTATTCATGTATAAAAGGATCAGTATGAACATGGTTTGAGTTGAAAGTTCTACTAAGGTGTACACGCCCAGTGCCTAGTAGAATATGGTATTATTCTTCAGTTGCAGGTTCATGAAATGAAAAATGAAACAGCGATTTCAACTATCCAATTCGATTTAGGATCTTTATACCGAAATCACCCTATTACGACTTGTTTTCTCGAATCCTAGTCACCAATTTTGAATCCAAACACCCAATATCATTTTCTGGAGCACTAGCACTGATGAAGCTTCAGTCAGCGAATGCCCCAGATAACCTGAAATATCGGAAATAACGGAAGCATAACATGATCTGCAATATTTTATTATTGAATTTGAAGTCGAATACAATCATTTTTGTGTTGGTTTCATTGTTACACTATTTTCTAACGATTGTCGTGAATATATTGATTAATTGTTTTCGACTCTCATCGAAATTTCATGTAATTCAAATCAGTTTCAATTCTCAGACTCTCAGGCGACTCTGATAAATCTTGCTTCCTTCTCCTCCTCTTGTCAAACTACGTTTGAGGACCTTGAATCCGTCTTCCTCCTGTTCAGTCTTCTCAGCAGGTGCTTCAACTCTTACCTTATTAGTTTCACCAGTAACTCCTCCTTCAAACTTGGTTTTCTTTCTCAATTTCTCCATGTAAATCTCTTTGAGCTGCCTGGCTTGAACCAGACACGTTTGTTCATCTACAGTTAGACTGATCAATCTCGGATCGAGCCTGATCCAATCAGAGTCTATCGCTTGATCTGTCAACCACCGTTTGAGCGGATCAGGTTCCAAGAGGTGCTCCGTCAGAGTTTTAATCTCGGGACTCAGATAGTCCACCACCTTGGCCCTGAACTTCCACTTCTTATTCAGCTGTTGGTCCACCAAGTTTTTCACGTTCTTGTCTTCGAAGGGCATGGCCTTGTTGACCATAGCGAAAAGAATGACTCCGATGGACCAACAGTCGGAATTCTTGGGGTAATAGACGGTGCCCTTCAGAACTTCTGGAGCTGCGTAGTTCAAGGAACCGCAGTATGTGGAGCTGGTGAGTTTTTTTCCGTGGCCATCAATAACGTACCTAGCGAAACTGAAGTCAGCTAGCTTCAGGTTGTTGTTGAAGGAGATCAGGCAGTTCTCACACTTCAAATCTCTGTGGGCTACTCCCATTTCGTGTAAATACTGGACTGCTAGCACTAGTTGTCTGAACCACAGTCTCGCTCGACCTTCGGATATTGGTCCGTTTTCCAGAATGCAATCCAAAAGATCGGTGTGCTCCATACGCATGAAGATGAAATACCTAAGGACAAATATGATGAGTATATAGGTGCTTCCTCAGCGTCTGATCTGTACCTGGACTTCCTTTGGAATATGCTTTGTATGTGCACGATATGAGGGTGGTTCATTCTGGTCATAACGTCTAACTCTCTCGGTAAAAATTTCTTTACATAGTCTTTGGGGGCTCTTTTGGTATCGATGATTTTACAGGCAAGTTTGAGGACAGTTTCTTTCTCACCAGTGCTTTTTCCTCTCGCTGTTTCGTTTTTGATGGTGTATTCTGTGAAGTAGACCGGTGCATAGGAGCCTTCACCTAATTTCTTGATTATTTTGTAACCTTTCTTCAAGAGTACTTCGTCTTCTGATTCTTTTATTTGTAGTTCTTTGCGTGCCGTTGACATTATTGGAGCTCATGTTTGCGAGTTATACTAGAATTTTGATGTCTCATTGTATCACGAAAATTTATTTTTTGACATTTTGATTGAGTTCTGTATCGTGTTTGGTGTGGTTCTGACATAGTTGTCACTGAATTTGACGAAGCTCCCTATCATTGGAAGTAATATAATACTGTATACCCTGTGTTCTAACTACCAAAAAGCCAATCAATTAAGGGCCTTCTATTGAACTGTTCATTATGCTCCAAAGTGTTGTTACTGTTATTATTGTCAACCGAAATCTGTGTCAGTGTCAGTCAATTTTTTTCCATCTTGTCAGTTCTAGAGTGAGAACACACTTGTCTTGTCTTGAAAAACAGTTGACAAAAATTATTAGATACGAGTATATCTCCAAACTCTTTTTTGAAGAGATATAATGGTGATTTTCTGTACCTTTCCAGCGTAACATTTCATTTCATATACAGGGTGTTTCCTAACTACGGTTCCTTACTGCAGGATGGGTCATTTTGGGAAGAAAAGTTCCTATTGACATATGTCCGGAGTTGCTTCGTTTCGGAGATACAGGGCGTTGAAATTAAAGAAAAAAAACGGTAATTATAAAATATCATGAATATCCTGGAACCGATTCGGTTGAAATTTGATACTTTGATTTTAACTAATCAGGCGCTTATTTAGCCCTTTTTGAATTGGAATTATCGGGGCCAGTGGCGTCTCAGTGGGCACCAAAGCCAACAATATTGTAAAAAAAAAGTACGCCACTGACTTATTTCAGTGAATTATTATTTTTTTGAGATTGAGCAACTCAAAATAAAACTTTTCGGTATTCTGTATTCTTTTTATATTCAGCTTCGATTCAGTTTTCGAGAAAAAAAATGAAAGCCACTGTAATGCATATCATGAACACCTGCATTGGAGATAAAAATATAATTGACACTTGATATGCTGAAATTTTAGAAAATTTTACAAATAAATGTACGAAATTTCAACCAAATCGGCTCCAGGATATTCATGATATTTTATAATAACCTTTTTTTTTTCTTTAATTTCAACGCCCTGTATCTCAGAAACGAAGCAACTCCAGACATATGTTCATAGGAACTTTCCTTCTTGAAATGGCCTAACAAATCACCCCCTGCAGTTAGGAACCGTAGTTAGGAAACACCCTGTATATTTCATCGTTATTCGCGGTTGTCAAAATCATTAGATGACGTTGAAATGACATTAAATATTTCGACACTCATTTATCATTATAATTACCTATATTATTGATAATATTTATTCATTCACATACCTACATGGCACGCTCTGTTTGAAACAATTTTGCAAAACTAGAATTAAATTAACATATAGTTACTGGAGATATTCATAAACCAAAAAAAGAACGATACTTTATATTCTGATTCAGATCAAATTCGATTTTTCATAATATACCTCTGTTGAAACAACTCGTGTTTCACGTTCAATTTTTCTGTTCTGTTCTGTTTTTTGTTTTGTATTTTTGTTGTTCATTGTTACTATTCGATCCTGATTCCTTTATACTCAAATCTTATAAGTACCTATGTAACTGTATTTTGTGAATACATGATAATTTTTTTTATGTCAAAAATGATGAATATTGATTCACTTTGTCTGAATAAACTATGTCGGTAACAATGAACGTAAATTCCTGTAATTTTTCTTTTTGATATGCAGAAGCCGAAACATACATAATGGGGAAGTTTCCTTCAGATGAAATGTCATAAAATAAGTTCGGAACTCTCCAGTTTCATGTCCACGCTGTACACAATGGCGACTGATAAAGTCCAAGTCGTTTTTATTTCCAAATTGAAGCAATTTCTCATTTTTAGGGCGGCAAACTATGACGTACATTCTGAATTTAGTCTGAAAATGACTGATGGTGAAGAATATATAGCTAGCGAATAGCTAACGAATAGCTAACGAATGAAAAACGTTCAAAAAAATGAAAGAAGAAGTAAAACTGGCGAACAAAAACATACATAACCACAAATGCACTCGGAGAAGGAATGCAGAAAGTAGTTGGCTCCATTCTGACAGGTTATGGTTTTGTTATTCATGCATTGAAATATCTCGAATAGAGCTCGATCCTAAACGAAAATATCATTGAATCAATGAATCACTATCGGCTACATTCAATGATGAAATCCTTCCTAATTCACTGCTATCGGTCATAACAGAATGAAGCCGACACCCATGGCTCCTTCCTCTTGTTGTGCCAGTCAATATTTTGAAAGGTGTGGACGGACTCGAAGTATTAGGCGCTGTTGCAAGATATAATCTGCAATTTTCATGGAAAATAGATCCGTTTTATTGAGGAACGAATCCACTAGCAAAAAAATGAATGACAAGTAATATAACGATAGTCAAAAATTATAGATAGTATCGCAAAATATCATGATTTATTTTTGTTAGTAATCAACTTCATTCAGCTAATGAGAGAATTTTGGGAATTATTCATAATACTTGACAAAGTCGGATTTAAGAACCTATTACCCCAATAACACCCTCATGTCCCATAGATATCCTCAGGACGTCCTGTCGGGACATTCATGACGTCCATAGGACGTTCGAATTTGGTACCGTGGACGTCCATTGGACGTCTGTGGGACGCATAAATGTCCCACTTGATGACCAACTAGGGACGTACTTGAGGGATGTCCCTGGGACGAATATCGAATACCTAAATTCTGCAGTATTCCTCATCAAGCACTACAGAGGACATCCTTAGGACATCCATAGGACAACCTATCAGCAACGCTGAGGAATATCAATTGGATGTCCATAGGATGTCAAAGGGACGTACGAATTATTCTTGAATTTGAATTTTTCTGGGTCCATCTAGGACCAGATCTTGAATAACTGAATAGGACATCCAGTTGAGTTGATGGTCCGTAGAAGGTCCCCAAAAAGATTCCCAAGGATGTCCAATGGACTTACGTGAAGGACATTGACGAGGAGTACTCATAGCTTACGAGCAATCATTCGTTGGCGAGGTGTAAATTAACGTCCTCGCAGGTACAACATAATGAAAGTACCGACTGGGACGTCCATAGGACGATATTTCTAGGACATTGGAAGAGTACAGTTCATGTACCAATTGGGACATCCTAAGGGACATTCGAGAGATGTCCCTGAGGGACATTTCGATTGTTACATGATCTTGAAAATATTAAGGGCGTATGTGCAGAGATATTTGAAGGAATGTTACCATCAGGGGCATCAGGGACATTTCATGATTGTCTAGAAGGGACATCATATGAGATCTGAAGTCATGCCAGAATATGTACTACTCGGGACATCCGATGAGTGTCCCTAAAGGAACGTTTAAAATCAAATCCCATCAGGAACATGCCAAGGACGTCCTTGCATGGACATTCTACAATAAGTACCACGTGGGACGTCTAAGGGATGCTATTTCTAGGACATTTGAAATGACGTACCAACTGGGACGTCCCGTGGACGTCCTTGCTCGGACATTGCATGATATGTACGGGATGGGACGTCCCAAGGACACTTATTTTTGGTTCGTGTCATTCGGACGTGAATGGTACCAAATAGAGACGTCCCTAGGACGTTGTGTGTTATAAGGGTATAACTCATTGCTGTTATAATATTGTTATAATGCATTCAAAGAACAGTTTCCCAAAATCTAGACATATTGATGAAGTCGGCAACGTCGTACTGGCACAGGAAATGGTATTTCAACTCTGTGTGAATGTGGATTTTCATAAAGTAAGTAATATAGGAATGGTGGAGAAGCCAAGTTCCTCTTTCATTTATTTTATTCTGAAGTGAAATTTGATCCTACGAAAAAAAGGAAAAATACGTATATATCTATTTTTTTACAAACTTCACATTGAGATAAAAACCTCAATGTAGGAAACTTAAGAGTAAGTAATTAAGAGAGCTGACACCGTCCATGTGCGACATGTTTTCTGAAGACGACTGTACAGATTTCACTGAAATTACGTTCTCACTGTCTAACTGACAATAAACGCGTTTATTACATGCTAATGACGGATTCACCCATATGCATTATCGTTCACTGGCCAGACCTGGATATTGATGTTAACCCCCACAGAGCGACATGTTGTGGTTGAGAATAATTCGGATATGCCAATTATGTGAATGGTGAACTCCCCATTAGTATTGGTGAATCAGTAATCACCCTTCTTCAGGGTTCTGTATATCAGTGGAATGCTGTATTCCGTTTATTGACGTTTACTCTCAATATACCTCCTCGTACTAGGTCGCCTACTAGGTTTTCATTTTGAGTAGCGTGGTGTTTAAATCCTTAGCTTATTTGTGAGAGTGTCCAATCAATTGAACAAAGTTATTGCAGTGAATGAGACACTTTCAGGTGCACTGTATAGGTGCAAACCCTTCGTCATCTTCCTGCCATTGAACGCCAGCAATTACGATATTGTTTCTCTTCGAAAAGTTCATCAATTCAACACAATACACAATTACCAGATGAAAATATCAATTGTGACAAACTGGAAATGTTTCGAGAGGTTTCGAATAATCTAGCGTTTCGCTATATCGGAGCTGTGCCTGAACAACAATTGATTTCGCTTCAGCACTCTTGAAACTACAATCTACGTAATGGTTGCTCCTTTATTTGTCGCAAGCTATTGAATGTTTCCCATAACTCTGCAGCGGATTTTCTATAATAAGGCTTTCCGTGAAACCATTCCAATGATATGAAATCGAAATGGTATATTATACAATTATACAAGGTGATTTCTGAGTATGTGAACAAACTTCAACTTCAGTCTTAAGCCAGCAGCCCTAAGGCCACCAACTAAGCGTAGCTAAGTCAAACACAAAAATCAAGTCGGCGCTGCCCTCATATTGTCTATGGAGTACGCCTCTGAGGGAATATTATGCCGACTTGATTTTTCTTTGGCTCGAAACCTGTCTGTAGGTGTCTAGGGGGGCCCCGTCTATATCGAAACCGATAGGAATTCAGAAAATAATAACTTGTATCAGTATTCGTTTATACGAGTCGGTGCATAGATTTCCGGAGGATGTAATTCAATGTTCTGCGTGGTAGTAGCTCGAAAAGGAGTTGTTCTTCTCCCGAAATCTACCATTGT